GAGGAGGAGGAGGAGGAGGAAGGACTGTTGGGGTGGAGCGCATGCGGAGCAGGTCCTGAAAGAGGGAGTCAGCCGACTGCTGTCAGTGGCTGAGACGCTGCTCCACGCCGTCCTCGCACTTGCGCCCCTGAGACTCCTGGATGGCGGGAGCCTGGAAGTCAAACAAAAGCGGGAAGTGGGAAACAGCAAACACCCCGTCCCCGGGGCAGAAGCGGCACTGAAGGCTGACATGCACGATGCTGACTCCCCTGTGTCCCCTCAGAGTCCTGAGAGAGCCAGATCATTGAGGCAACAAAAGTGAATGAAGAGCTGAGAAAACAAACAGCCGCCCTCCAGGCAGAGGAAACATCTCTGCAAATCCTAGAGCTGGAAAGAGAGAGTCAACTACTTGAGCTGAAGCTCCAGATTCTGCTTGAACTACACCAGGACCTTATCACGCAACCTTCTCAGGTTGCCAAAATCACTAAGGAGGAAAAGAGGTGTGCAGAAATTGAGAAGAAACTGATCGACTTGTTCAGAAATTGGAACTCCAAGTTTCAGATTCTCTAGCTGCACAAGAAGATAGCTGAAGGCATGGGCAAAGGATTGGAGAGAACCAGGTCCTTCTACCAAATGGAGTTCTTCTTGCATGAGAAAAGGGCTTAGAAAAGCTGGGAGGCAGCCGTGCAGACCGAGAGAAACTTCACGAAGCTAAGAGAAGGAGACAGCATCAGACAAACGCTGGCCGACGCCCAGGCCCACCTGCAGCCTTTCCCAAGTGGCACTTCTGCTCCTGTTGCTCCACCTGCAGCCCACGGAGGCCACAACGTGTCTGGGGATCCCCTGAATCCTCAGGGCCCCCCAAGAAGGAGGAGGGTGTCACCGTGAAGGCCCAGGAGGCAGGGGTGACCTGCAGTTGTGATTCAGCTCACGGCAGCTGGGTCCTGACCACCCACAGCCACGGCACAGCTCTGCAGGTGTTTCTGTAATAAGTAATTTTAATTTATGTCTTTTGGGTTTAGCTACTGTTATTTAACTGATACTACAATTCCCTTATCCAAGTGTTAGGGAGAGTTCGGTTCAGTGACGCAGGGAAGTCAGAGGACACAGTAAGGAAGGAATTCATTAAAGTGAGAGTGTTAGGGAATGACAGAATAGAATAATAGAGGAAGTTCATTGAGCAACTACTCAGCGTGGGGCACAACCCCTGCTAACTGTAAGCCAGGGTCACCTGGCGTCCAGCATCTGCTTGGATCTGCAAGGTGGGCGTGGGAACTAAGTCCCTCCCACCCCAGGCTCTGGGGAGCCGCAGAGCACTGGATGGAGGGAGATCATGTTCTGCGAGCTTCCTATAGGTAAAGAAGGGAGACTTTCAGGCAGGTTACTAAAGAGCATGACTGTGAGCTGCAGGTCCCGGCCACCCAGGCGGCGATAATTTGCAAGCCCAGGTCTGAGCTCTCAGCAGCCCCTCCTTACTGGTCTGAGGTAGAATAGAGTGAGTTTAAAGCCAGAGATTGGAGGATTAGGATGACACAGCAAAGTAACAAACCACTTACTACTGGAAAGGAGCAGAGACAGTGCGTTTAAGTTTATTTAAGGCAAAAAGAGCACAATTGGAGAAAGGGAAGTGTGGGCTGCCCCAGAGAAGAGGCTCCCTGAAAGGCTGGGAAAAGATGAAAAGGATACACACCTAGAAAGTGCGGGTGACCCCGGAGAGTGGAGCACCCCCTGAAAGGTTGAAAATAGAGTTTAAAGTGAAAAGGTTACGCACTCAGAAAATGCGGGAGACCTCAGAGAGAGGAACACGCCAGAAAGCTGGGGGTTCCCCCTTTTAAGGATTCTTTAGGAATGTGACTAAGGGCTGGGGGTGCAGACTTGTTAGGTGATCTTTGAATACTTAGAATTAACACAAGGAACTTCCTGCTCTGATTTCTCCCTGGGATACAGGCATCTTGGTCTGGGAGCAGATCAAAAAGCTTGCCTGCCCAGCCCCCAAGGTGGGCTGCGTTATTGTCTGTTTGCTAAAGAGTAAGTTAAGAATCGTACATTTTTAATTTCCTGGGTATTTAAAATACAATCCTTAAGATGGAATCCTTCCTGCCTTTCACTACGTTGTTTAAGGCTGGGCCTGCAAGCTAAATTAGGTGCCTAGGTTATAAACTACTTAATTAGGGCTGGAAGGAGAAAAAAAACAACATATAGGTAAAGGTTAAAAAGTAAACTGGGCCTGCATGCTTAACGCAATAAAGATGTGGGCTATGCTAAGGTACCTTCGTTTATCTGGGAAATATTCAAACATTCCAGGCCAAGTTGCTCTTGGCTTTTTGAGCTTTGATTGATTAATTTTGGGTCTTTTTAGTGGACTTTCTGGCCTTTTTCTCTTTCTACCCTGCTCATTTCTATTTTCCTGCCTAATACAAGTAAGCATAGCATTATAATTTTAAGAATATTTTTCAAATAAAGTTTCACTCAATAAAAAAAAAAACCCGTGTATTGCTTACAAATGGCCATCTGGCATCTTTCTCTCTCCTGCTGCAGCAGAAGTGAACGAATCCACCCCCCAACCTCTCAGGTCCAGATAAGCCCTTGCTTGCCCAGGGAATTACCCACTGATACGGAGATGCACTAAAGCTGGTTAAGAGATTCTAGGAATACTGTAATTTTGCCCACACTTCCCAATCCCACGCCCCCTTCGGATCTTTGCTAAGATGCCATTTCCTCTGAGAGGGTTTCTCACCCACCCAGATTGCTCCCTTTCCCTGCTGTGTACTTCCACACACTCCCTCTCCTACCCTAACCCTTGCCACAGTCCTTCATTACCTCCATCATCTAGGCTGTAAATCTCTGTCTGCAGGGATAACTTCCGTCAAGTTCTGCTCTGCCCTGCCCTGGAATCCTTGGTGCCTGGCACACAGAAGACACTCAACAAATCAACTATCCACAGAATTCTGTCACCTATGATTGCTGGGCCAAAAGAGATGGTTAATGCATTTCAGTAAACAAGTTTGTTTTTTGTTTGAATGTTTGGTTTCCCCAGCATAGAAAACAGTATGATAATAGGTAACTTGCTCCAGGTATTTATGACCAAGCAGTATAGTCCTTGGGGGTAACTCTCTATGGTAATAAGAGGGAGGGATGGTTGCACTAAGTATACATCTGATTGTAGACCGGGACTGAAGGGCCCCCACCAGTAAGATGGCAAACTACCGGCTTCTCTTCGGGGTCCTCGGTTCCCGCTGGCGCCACCTGAAGCCCAATCACCTCTCGCTCCCCTCCCAATCCCAGCACCTAGCCAACAGCCACCAGCCCCGTAGAAGTGACACCTCAATCAATTCATGCTCCTTCCTATATAACCCAGCACCTTTCCCTAATAAAGCGGAACTCTCCGGTGAATTGCTGCTGTGTGTCGCTCCTTTCCTTTCAGGGACTCTGCAGCAGCAGCCTCTTCTGAGTTCATGGTAAGGTGAGTGACAAACAGCACGAATCATGGTGTGGTGGGAATGAATTACTGCTGCAATTAGTACCTGTCTGTGTAAGCAGATCCCCAGGTTCTCTTAATAGCTTTCTTTGCTGCATCAACCCTTCCTGAGAAAAAGGCCAGAAAGCCCAGCGGTGGAAGAACGGCCCTATGGTAAGGCAAGAATCTGTTCACCGTGCCCCATTTCCAGATGGACAGCGGCTCCTAGTAACTGATTTAAGGGGACTCCTGCTGGCCCTCTGGCAGCCTGCACAGGCTGGGGCTCAGACACCACCTCGTACAAACTCCCATCTCCTGCAGTCACTTTATGGTGGAAGTCATGTTACCAACTTTGGTGGGCAAAGGGGCCCACAGCTCAGTGCGCTGTTAGGAGGCATCCTTAGAGTCTCTATATTAGGTCTTTGTCTTTAATTCTTTCCACAGAATAAGGTCCTAAACACTGTCCCTGGTCTTCCAATGGCAAATCCACTTTGATAGGTTATAGAACAAAATTTGACTATGAAAAACCATGGTACTATGATCATTCTCTATTTTAAAAGGGTATTGACACAGCCGGAATCAACTGAGGCCCTTCAACATTTCATGGGCTTCCCTTGTTGGCACAGGGCCATTTATATGGCTTCTCCCCCTGCACTGTAAGTTCCAAACACTAGGGACCTTGCTGGTCTTGTCTGAGGCTCTATCTCAGCCCCTGGCCCACAGCAGGTACTCAGTAAATATGTGTTATGTAAATGAAGAAGTTTCATCAGATTTCTACATAGTAACACAAAAAGAAAATACAATATTCATCGTTTTTAAAAAAATCCTACTAAAATACACATAACGTAAAATTTATCACATTAACCATCTTTAAGTGTGTGCAGTTCAATAGCACCCAGGTCACTCACAATGTTGTGCAACCACTCTCCAGAACATTTTATCTTGCAAAACTGAACCTCTATTCTCATCAAACAACTCTCCATTCGCTCCTCCTCAAGCCCCTGCAACCATTCTATATTTTGTCTCCACAAACTTGATTTCTCTATGTGACTTATATAAGCAGGATTACACATTATTTACCCTGCACTGACTTAATGACTTATATATACATCCTGACTGACTTATTTCTGCCAGCATAACTTCAAGTTTCATCCATGTTGTAGCATGTGTCAGAATTTCCTTTTTAAGGCTCAATAATATTCCATTGTACACATATACCACATTATGTTTATCCATTCATCCATCAGTGGACACTTGAGTTGCTTCCACCTTTTGGTTATTGTGAATAATGCTGCTATGATAACAACATTATTTCTAATTTATTCTATTTCATCCTGTATGGTGATTGGCCACCTACAGCAAGAACCTACTTACCATCCATATCATACATACCAGAAAGTATCATAATATCATGCCACGTTATTTAAAAAAAACTTGCTTGAGTTTTACCTTCTAGAGCTTTCAAACCCTTCTTGGCTTAGCGTCACGGCTGCCTCCTTTATAAACGTGGGAATGCACAGTGGGGGGGCGGTGCTCCCGGCAATCAGCTGCTGTCACTGTCTTACACAGCCTGTTTCTCTTCAACTGTCCATTCCTGTCTTCTGTGGAGCAAAAATATTTACCATGCCATAGACTAGGTTATTAAGGTCTTTGAGGCAGTTTTCAGTCTGATGCTTTCTTTCTTTACAAGTTTTTTCCCCCCAAAATGTATACTACATGGAAACTATGGCAAACTCCTGCATGGAAAAACCAACTGCTATTATGATAATAATGCCTTCCAAACTAATGTAAAGATTCAATCTAATTCCAATAAAAAGTTATACTGGGATTAAATGGGTAATTTCAAAGTTCATTTGGAAAAAAATGAATGACTGAAACACAACAAGAAACTTTGGACAGGCGCAGTGAGGAAAGGGCACGCACACTCCAGCTGTTAAATGTAACATAAAGCTGCAATAATTTAAACTGTGATGTAAGCACTAGACTAGGAAGGTAGATCAATAAAACACAGTTGGGACCAAAAAGTAGACTCTTATAATATTGAAATTTATAACATAATAAAGTAGAATTTCGAATCATGGAGCAAGGCATGACAATTCAGTAGTGTTGGGTCAATTGCTTAACTTTGGGAGAAGAAAAAATATAAGTTCCTACATCACAAAATAGGTGGAGTGCACGCTTACATATAAAAAAGAATCCTAGAAGAATTAAAAGGAAGCAGAAGGAGAGATAAATACATAGGATGTGGAAAGATTTTCTAAGCAAATCATCAAAGATGGCAATTATAGATAAAAAGTTTGATAGACTTACCTAATGGAAGCTTGACATTTTTTTATTTCACAATGCCTCAAACAAAACCAGGACAAATCTTTTCAGTGGCAGAAAAGAGGTTAATATTTCATATCTCTCTGACAAAGCAGGAAAAACATTAAATATCACAGTGAAAAATGGGCAATGAAAATGCACAATCACAGAAGAAAATAAACATCTAATAAGCTTACTAAAAAGTGATCAATTAAATGACCCTTTTATTCACCTAAATTCAAAATAAAACAAGGAAAGTGGAGGTAGGGTAAATAGTATATTTCTGAGATGGTATCACGATTTACTTTTAAAAGCCTGAAATACATGCCCTCCCTTTGATTTCTCAATTACCCTTCTAGGTATTTGCTACCAAGAGTACATGGAAAGATTTATCTGTAAGGATATTCACTGTAGTGCCCTTTATACTAAGTAGACTATAAAATAATATTGCAGCATGAAACAAATTAGGTTAAAAATATGTCTATAGAAATATTAGAAGGAGATACATCAGAAAGTTTGCTGTTTTTGGAGTGATGGGATTTGCAATTGATTTTTATTTTCTTTGACATTTTATAAATTTTCAAAATCTCCTTTCCTGAGAATTTTTAAAATTTGAAAACATTACTTTTGTAAGGTCACAGCCAGTTAAGTTTCTCATTTTCTCTGACTTTGAAGTCAAGTTCCATATTCTTATCACACAAATTTTTACTCCATAATTATTTATGTACCATCTTTAATAGCACCATCTTATCTGGAAAGTATAGAAGAGCTGAATTTTCTTCTGATGTAACTTCAAGTCAGTCAGAAATGCATGCACAATAAACAATATGCACATCTTCTAGGAAGAAAATTGGGCTGTATTTTTCTGTATTGCCAAGTATTTTTCATGTTTATTCATTCTATAGAGAGATTACTTTAGGTAGAAATAAATAGCAAGGGCAAAATCCAGCATATTAATCAGTCATGAGTCTCAAAGTTCACCTTTGGCATTGATTCTGAACTTCAAGAGTATGTTTGGCAAATATGTTGCAAACTGGTAAACAATGACTATACATCCCTTTTTCTCGTTTTTATATTATTTCTTCCTTCAGAAGGTCATTTTTAATAATATCATGTTCATACTACTGGTGATGCCATATACTTAAAAATATTAAGAAACTTATTTTCTCTTTTTCTTCCTGGAACTCTAAACACACTTCCCCGTGGTTGCTAAGCAGGTAACAAACACAATACTATGAGTGGCGTAACGTTATGTTTACAATGTCATGCTATGTGAATTCTGAATACACATATTAGACCTAGTGACACAGGAAAAAACTATATACTGCTAGTCCATAAACTTCAATAAGGAAGTTTAAATTAGATTAAAGGAGAAATTTTAGTCTAAAGAGAACTAGTTTAAAGGGAATTAGTTTAAAGGGAACTATAGCCCCAACCCCAAACCCATAGGATTTAATTTTTTTGGATAAAGTTAATATTAATAGATTTAACAAGCATTTGTTTTGACTGATGGATCCTCTGAACTTGAGAATGAAAAAGGAGTATTAAAAAATGTGTTTCCCTCCTTATTTTCACAGCAAAGATGATCCCCCTTGGCTGGAGAGTTACAGGACATGTTCATTCTCTGCCACTTATTGCTAAGGGTAGGAGACAGTGTAGACAGTGGTGGAAAGTTCTTTGGCGTGTCTCACTCCTGTTCACAGATCTGTTTCCCATAAAATGATAAGAATGGGGTGAAGTTCACTGAAATAACTGCAATATGAGGAACAGGGGAGTTGTACATCACTAGTATCTAGATAGTGACTTCACACGCACAGCCTATGGAAACACGCAGAAATGCCTATCACTCACCTCATGGTTGGTGTGAGATTTGTTTCATCTAGGAGCTACAGGAGGAATGTCAGAACAGACAAATGTCTGAGCCTAAGCATTTGGGAAAGACCCTGTTTTCATCTCTGTATTCTTTGCCACCTCTGTGTTGCAGAAACAGCTCAAAACAGAACCTGTTCAACTTGCAAAACTTGTCAGTTGTTTCTCAAGTTAGACGCCATCAGTCAGGCATTTTATCAGTTTTTCGGTTCACCTGGATCAGCAATAACATATCGTGTAAACAGCAATGGGCAGACTGCATTTCCTGACCCTGTTACACCTCAGAGAGCCCTGGACAAAAACCAACAGTAGAGGGCTGTCCAGACAGATATGGACTCTAACTTCCTTCCTCTCCCGCTGTGACTTGGGAGGTGCAGGGGGCAGCAGCGGCTCTCAGACTGACAGGGTAGAGGGTGATCAGCGCCAGCTCTGCCAGGAACAGCCCCGAATGTCAACCTGGCGCTGCCTCGCACCGCTTGCCCTTGGGCCAGTTGAGCCCTCAGGGTCTTAACTTTTTCCCTCGACTATAAAATGGAGCAGTTCGTTACTACGCAACCTAATTGTTATGAGGATGAATGAGGTGACCTCTATAAAACAGGTAACATCGCAGGCACTTAAAATTGGTGTCTTTTATTAATATTAACTAAACTGGATTAATCTATATTTGGGTGATACGGTGCTTAAACCTCATCATACACACTTTAGTGTTTCAAAAATTTACATTAAAAGGAGAAGCTGTAAGAGTGTGATGGAGAGTAGTGTGTCCATGTTGGTGATGTGGGAGGACTTGAAATGAAAGGCAGTATTTAGGTGTACCTGGTTTTCTGTCATTATGGGGTATAAGATAAAGAGACAACAAATGACGCAGTGGCCTGAACACAAGTCCGTCTGGTCTACAGATCAGCGTAGAGCACGGCGCAGTAACAATACCCGGAACGTTTGGTTCCATGTGTCTTTAGACCTAAGCTATTCATTCTGTAAATTGGATTCAAGTGTTGAAAGTCTAAATGGTTTTTTAATTGATTTAGTTTTGCAGGAGTTACCTAAAATTTTAGAAGTTGGTTCTGGCCAATTATGATACAGAAGTCTAAAGCTAAGTAAATTTTTTTCTCAGTCATAGAAAATGTAATGGAGCATTTCTGAAAGTAGGATGTTAATAGGCAATTGGATGATTTGAATATAAAATTCCAAATTGGAATGGCACTGTGTTGAAGTACAGCCAGTAGAATGAGGAAGACAGAGAATCAAAAGAAAGTGAACACATTAGGATTAGAATCTGTCTTTAAGAAGCCAGGAAGGATATCCAGTCCATTCCCTATGCTACTATCAGACCCCAGCCACATGTTGTTTGTGTTTTGATGTAAACATATTTTAAATTGCCTGGACAACTGACTTTATTGGAGTGCAGTTCATGAACAGTTCTAGTCATCATGTTCCTTGGCTGTCAGCTCTGCTGAAAAAACAGATTTAGTTAATTGCAAGCTGTTCCCCCTCTTTTGCCAGGGGAATACCTTCCCATCCCATTGGGATGAGGCTGGCTTCAAAGGATCACTCAGCTGGGAGATCCCCAGGGGAAGTAACAACAGGATTCGCAAGTCCTGCCTAGGCCACTCCTTGGCCACATCACCTCTGAAAAGTTACTTTTTGCAGGGACAGTAAAACTTAGCTCCTGTAGGCAAGGGTGCTTATCTGTAAGTGTTCAGGGGAGAGGGAAGTGCCTTGAGAGAAACCTATAAAGTCTGAATTTTGGACCGCATGATAAGGCAGGTGAAGGCCAGGAAGGACCCTGGTGAGAAATGACATTCTGGTGACAGATTTGGCTAGTTTAAAATCCGTTTGTAAGAGACTTTAGAGCTTTTGGCAATGTGTATTTTTACTTGTTATATATCCAATGATGACTACTCTTCACCATACATATAACATGGTGATTTCTATCTTAAAGACTGAAAGTACCAAATCAGTTGGCCTTTGCTGCACAAAGATTACATCAAAAGTTCATGGCTTCAAACAACAATTTATTATTTCTTTGAATTCTGTGGGTGGGTTGGGTGGTACCTGCTGATCTTGCCAGAGCTCTGTCCCGTGGCCATGTCTGCATACCTTGGGGCTGGGGGCTGGGCTCTGCTGGGAGCCTTCCTTAGGATCCCGCATCCCCTAGGGGGCTGCCTGGGGCTGCTTCACAGGGGGTTTCCTGGTTCTAGCAGCAACAAAGGGCGGCCCTAATGCACAAGCCCTTCCCAGGCCTCTGTTCGTTCACATGAGCTCAGTCACCCGGCTGAGCCCAGAGTGGGTGCCGACGAGGATCTTCCCAGGGCAAGGGTAGAGATGAGAACCAACCATCTATCGCAAGTCTGTTCGGCTATCTTTGAATGGGATTATCAAAATATCTGAGGAATATTTACAATCAAAGAATAGAATTCATCTAGATCAGTACTGTACAGATACATGTAATTATATATGCATATATGTATTTATAAATATGAAAGTAATTTTAAGTGTTCTAGAAGCCACATTAAAAAGAGAGAAAAGCAACAGATGAAATTAATTTTACTATCAGATTTATTTAGCCCAGTATATCCAAAATAGTGCCACTTCAACATGTACTTGATACAAAAATTTCTAGTGAGAGAGTGAACACTTTTTTTGTACTAAGGCTTCAAAGTCTAATATGTACTTTAGACATACAGCACCCCCCAGGTTCAGGCTTGCCCTGTTCCAGGGCTCACTAGCTGTATTGGCTAGTTGCCACTGTACTGGAGAGC